AATTGAGGCAACATTTTGTTTGAAGGTAGGGTAGAGATGATTGAGGAAAGAAATTTGTTTTGTAAAAATTGTGGAAAATGGTCACAGCTTTTTCAACTGAAGGAAGTTGGGTTATGATGAACGTCATGGAACGTTTTGAAAAGGGAGATTGGAGAACCAAATTCAAGCAAAGAAACAAAAGAAACCTTTTAGTTCAAACTTGAAAAATTTGTCAGAATTTTAGACTCAAATAAAACACCAGAAAAGAAGATTTAAAAGATCAATACTTGAGCTCCATACCATCTGGCGGAGTGCTCTCCACTTTCTTACTCCCAACCTCTTTCCAGTTCGTAGACAGTACTGTCTCGCTCACACTGCCTGTGAAACCAAAAAAAAAAACCGAGAAAGACAAAGGAGAAGTTGTGAAACCAAAATTCCAAACGAGAGATTGATTTGCTAACAACTGATTTGTTCATGGCTCGTCTCATGTCCTCATCCGCACTATGGTATTTATCGCTGAATAAACTTGTTCGGAGCTGCATCTCCATCAAGCTTGTCCTGCAAAATAATTAAAATAAAAACATTAATTAAAAGGTCAAACATCAATCTTTTAGAAGAAAAATAAATAAGAACAGTCAACAGTTGCATATCTAAACGAGTTAGCATTAAATTGTACCGCACCTTTTCTAAATTGACAGAATCCTTTTGGCCATATTCATTCTTTTGACGTGTGGAGGACGAACTCTAAACATTTTTACTGAGCAATAATTTTATATTTGAAGAAAAGAATATTAAAGCACAAATAGTACATAACATATTCATTAAAACATCAATTGCCAATGTCTTCCAGACTTCCACCTTTACATTATGCACGTCTTCTTATTGAAACATTCTCTTAACTTGCCAATGTCTTGTCTCCAAGTTTACTTATAAATAAGCATCGCACGAGCACTTAGAATTTCATCACCAAAAAATTAGAAGTGACATTCACAAAGAAAGAGCTCATCATAAGAAATGAGGTCGATCACAGCTTTGTTTTTCCTTTTCTGTTTCCTTGCTCCCTCTGCTTTGGCGCAACTGCGATCTGGGTTCTATGGCCGGTCATGTCCCCGAGCCGAAACTATTGTTGCTAATGTTGTCGCCAACCGTTTCCGCCGTGACCGTAGCATTACTGCAGCATTGCTTCGTATGCAGTTTCATGATTGTTTTGTCAGGGTACGTAAGCTTCTCCTTTTGTATATGTTCATTGACTTGCTGATATCTAGACATAACATTGATCATGTAATGTTTTGAATTTCCATGTAGGGTTGTGATGCTTCCCTCTTGATCGACCCAAGACCCGGAAGGCCATCAGAGAAAAGCACCGGACCAAATGCAAGTGTGAGAGGCTACGAGATCATTGATGAGGCCAAGAGACAGCTCGAGGCTGCATGTCCTCGAACTGTCTCATGCGCAGACATTGTAACTCTAGCCACCAGAGACTCGGTTGCATTAGCTGGTGGTCCAAGATACTCAGTACCAACAGGAAGACGTGACGGATTAAGGTCAAGCCCCAATGATGTGAACTTGCCCGGACCAACAATTCCGGTGGCTGCATCCATCAATTTATTTGCAGCTCAAGGTATGAATACGAATGACATGGTTACGCTTATTGGTGGTGGCCACAGCGTCGGTATTGCTCATTGCAGTCTCTTCCAAGATAGGCTTGCTGACCCAGCAATGGACCGCTCATTGAACGCTAGGTACGCAAATGCTTTGGCTCATTCGAAAATATATCTTATCAAATTCAAATGAACATCAAAAGAAATATATGACCAACAATTAATACATCTCTTAAGGCTGAGGAACACATGCCGTGCTCCAAATGATCCATCGGTGTTCTTGGACCAAAGGACGCCATTTATCGTGGATAACGCAATCTACGGAGAGATCCGAAGACAGAGAGCAATCCTAAGAATTGATCAAAACTTGGGTCTCGACAGATCAACCCGTGGAATCGTGTCGAGTTTTGCATCAAGCAATACACTCTTTAGACAGAGATTTGCCCAAGCAATGGTGAAAATGGGTACCATAAGAGTTCTTACGGGACGTTCTGGAGAGATCAGGAGAAACTGCAGAGTCTTCAACAACGGACGTTGATTCCACACTGTCCTTACTGATATTTATTTTAACTCTTTGTTGGTTTTTCCTTTGTCCCTTACTCTTTTGAATAATCAACCGAAAGCATATGTAAGTTCCATTTTATTATTATTTGTTGTGATTTTTGGGGTCAACTCTTGTTACTCTATCGCATTCATTTTTATATGGTTTAATTACATGTTCAATGTTTAT